GAGGGGAATTGGGGGAGAGGGCAGGATAGATGAAAGAAAAAGGAGTGGAAAAGAAGAAGGGGTGAGGTGGATGAAAGGTATGAGAGTGCGTACGGGATGAGGGGAATTGGGGAAGAGGGCAGGATAGAAGAAAGGAAAAGGAGAGGGAAGGAAACTGATATGAGGAAACGGATAGAGAAGAGGGCCGAGGTGGAGAGAAAGAGAGGGCAATTTGTAGGAGGCAAGGAAAAAAATATAACTCAGTACTCACTGCAGTGTGTGACAGAGAGCGCATTTTCTCGTCGACGAAAACATGAAGTCACGGACGGACAGACAGACGGACGGACAGACGGACGGACATGGCGAGCACAATAGTGCATTTTTTCCATAAATGAAAAAAATGCGCTAAAAATAGGGAATGGAACTATGAAATAGAGAGGGATGGCGACTGTGAGGTTGGTGAGAAAGGGAAGGGTGGTAGTGGAAGAGGGATGAAGAAGAGCGTTAGGATAGGGAGTAAAAGGTGGCGGGAAGCAGATTGGGATATTAGCTAGGGGGATTAAGCTCTTTTATTATATTAATATCTTCTCCATTTCGCTTTCATCTTTTCATACTGATTATTAACCTTATTATTCATAATACTTATTATTTATTCATATAATCAAATTCTGCATACATACTTACTTAATTATTATAGTTTATATTTAATGCATATTTCGTGTCAAGACTTAATGTTTCAGAGAATCTATAAATTTTTGTGAATAATAAGCAGTTCTGTTTGAAGAAAATAAAAGCTGGAAGACAGTAAAAGAGATTAAAGCAAATAATTTTCATCTAAAAGCCCTTATTTTTGGCATATATTAACATGTGTTCAGAGGACGGCATCTCTCAGGAAGGCTAATACATTCATAAATCAAGATATTGCAATCAAATCGAAGTTATATTATTCAATTAAGTTATGTGGGGCAGACAGAGCACGAGTACGCCAGGGGGCAGAGCCCGAGTACGCCAAGGGGGCAGAGCCCGAGTACGCCAGGGGAGCAGAGCCCGAGTACGCCAGGGGGGCAGAGCCCGAGTACGCCAGGGGGCAGAGCCCGAGGGTACGCCAGGGGGGCAGAGCCCGAGTACGCCAGGGGAGCAG